TTTCGCTGCGGCGCGAAATATGGTAGTATGTAGCACCAGATTCCCACACCGTGATATTCACAAGGCAACGTGGCTATCTCCCGATCAAGCAACACGAAACCAGATTGATCACTTCGTGATTGACGCAAGGCACGCTTCTAGTGTGCTGGACGTACGTTCATTCCGTGGTCCAAATATCGACTCAGATCACTACCTTGTCGCAGCCAAGGTACGCATGCGGCTTAGTACCGCCAACAACGTACGCTCCAATGTTCAGAAAAAACTAGACGTTAATAAGCTGCGATCACGAGAGACAGCCGAAGCCTTCGCCGCTCAGCTCTCTAGCCGATTAAACAACCAACCCTCCCGTTCCGATAATGCCGGTAGACAGTGGGGACATATCTCTCACTCCCTACGCACAACAGCGGAAGATGTCCTTGGTTTCCAACGTCCCCCACGGCGAAACCAATGGTACGACGAAGAGTGTCGCCAAGCTACTGCTGCGAAGAACGCGGCCTATAAAAGGACCCTGCAGTCAGCAGCAACGCGAACCGTGCATGAACAATATCGGGAGATGAGGAAGGTAGAGAGGTGCCTATTCAGACGGAAGAAACGAGATCAAGAAAGGCGCGAGCGAGAGGAAATCGAAGTGTGTAGAAATAGGAATGATGCCCGTAAATTTTATCAAAAAGTCAACCGTCTGACTCAAGGCTTTAAGCCTGGTGCATCAACCTGTAAGGACGAAAATGGTAATCTGGTTACAGATACGCAGAATGTACTGAAAGTATGGAAGGAGCATTTCTCCAAACTACTATCTGGCGATGATAACATCAACTCTGCCATTGAAGAAATGCCCTCTGTATCCCCAATCGAAAATGATGATGTTGAAATTCCACCACCTAGCCATAACGAAGTGCGTGTTGCTATACAGCGACTTAAGAACAACAAAGCGGTAGGCGCAGATGGCCTGCCTGCTGAATTGTTCAAGGCCGGCGGCGATATGCTGATAGGGTGCATGCATCAGCTTATCTGCAGAATATGGTTAGATGAAAGTATGCCCAGCGATTGGAATCTCAGTAGCCTTTGTCCTGTCTTGAAAAAAGGTGACCCGACGATTTGCGCCAACTATCGCGGGATTAGCCTGATACCTGTCGCGTACAAGGTTCTTTCAACTGTACTGTGTGAAAGGTTGAAGCCACATGCCAACTCACTGATTGGACCTTATCAGTGCGGCTTTCGACCTGGTCGCTCCACCATTGATCAGATATTCACACTGCGACAAATCCTGGAAAAAGCCCACGAACATAACATCGACACTCATCACCTTTTTGTCGATTATAAAGCAGCTTTCGATAGCCCCATTAGGGATCACGTTTACGCCGCAATGTCTGAGCTCGGTATCCCTGCAAAATTAATTCGACTTTGCAGAATGACGCTGAGTAATACCCGTAGCTCCGTCAAGGTAGGATCGAGTCTCTCTGAACCTTTTGATACCGTGCGAGGCTTCAGACAAGGTGATCCCTTATCATGTGACCTCTTCAATTTCGTCATGGAAGTGATCATGCGCAGGGCAGGTGTTCATCGTAATGGAACAATATTCTACAAATGTGTCCAGCTCCTTGCTTACGCCGACGACATTGACATCATTGGGCGTAGCAAGCGTGATGTTACAGCTGCTTTTGCTGCTATCGAAAAGGAATCTGCAAGAATGGGTTTAGCGGTGAATGAGGGAAAAACGAAGTATATGTCGGCTACTGGTAGAAATGTGCGTCGCTCGGACGCCGGGCTAGTGGCTGGCGACTATACTTTCGATTCTGTCAAGGATTTCATCTACCTTGGCACCGCCGTAACGAATACAAATGATGTCAGTCTGGAGATCAGACGAAGAATCACCATTGCTAATAGGTGCTACTATGGGCTCAGTAGGCAATTGGGATGTAGAGCTCTCTCTCGACAAACAAAACTTACGCTCTATAGGTCGCTCATCCTCCCTGTGCTTCTGTATGGCGCAGAAGCATGGACGTTATCACAGAATGATGAAGCAGCACTGGGAGTGTTCGAGAGAAAAGTTCTTCGTAAGATCTTTGGTCCTCTACGAGTTGGCGACGACTACCGCATTAGAATGAACGACGAGCTGTACGAGCTTTATCACGACATTGACGTAATTCAGCGCATTAACATCCAGCGGCTTCGCTGGCTTGGTCATGTCGTGAGAATGGATGAAGACGCTCCGGCGAAAAAGGTGTTTGAAGCAGTAGTTGGCGGAAGAAGACGTAGAGGTAGACCGTGTCTCCGGTGGAGTGATCAAGTTGAGGGAGCACTAACTGGACTTGATATACGAGACTGGAGAAGGCGCGCACGCAGCAGAGGCGCCTGGGGAGACATGCTGCGTCAGGCCGTAACTCGGTAACGGGTTGTTATGGCCACATAAGTAAGTAAGTATTGGATTGATAACCTAGCTAATTGTTCAAAGATTTATATTTTTGGAAGAACAAAAGTTTGTTTGTTTGAAGGGTACTATAAAGGAATGGACACAATAATTTTTATTGATTTTTGGAATGTTTGGAAGACTTAGCGACTTCATTTAAACCGGGATACTTGCAAAAGTATTTGTCTAATTTGTAGTAAAAATATTTCGAAAATAATGTCTTGAAATGTTTGAATAATCAACATTTTTGTAAATTGTTTTCTTTTCAAAGTACTTAGGAACTTGTCATTTCAAGTTAATTAGTGCTCAAAATTACATCAGAATGAGTATAAAATGTTTAAAATTGCCGTTCATGGTAAAGATCAACTTATAGCTAAGTAAATATAAGAAAAGTAAGCTATCAAAAACTATCAATAGTTATGGAATGTTTATTCTAAGACATACATACTAGTATTTGATCATTTGATATGATTAAATACTAACAAATATTTAAAAAGCTCGTGTGAAATCTATTAATTATATCCCAAGATAAAACATAATATAAATATCGAAAATCCAAAAATTAAATCAACAATAAAATTAACTTTTTTATTTATTTAAAAATATGCCCGATTTTTTATCGGTACCAAAGCAACTCTTCATATATTAAAATCTGTTTATCTGTTTTACAAATTCACAGATATTATTTTTTTTTAATTTAAATCGAATTGTATTCTTTTCGTAATAAGGTAACTAGATTGATTTTAAAGTTGATTCATTTTATTTATGAATTTACATATCTTCGTGAAATTTTAAATATCACACAGGATACCAGAATTTAGAAGTGTATTTCTAGTTATAGACCCTAAAGTTGTTGTAAACAAATTATTACAAAACTCTATCAGAATCTGATGTCCGATACTTTATCGGTAGCCAAGCAAAATTCAAAGCGTTCAACTTCCCATATATTAAATGGAGATATTATATTATTGTAACCACTATAGGCATCTTTGAACGAATTCACTATATCTAACAGTATATCTATTGTTTAGCTGTCAATACTCACTGGCTACAAAGACTAGTTATAGTAGTAGAGTTCAATACTTGACAGTTTTTGGTTTTACTTTAAGTATGCAAATACCAATTTATACTATTATTACTATTATTATTACAGATTCTGCTGTGATGAGGAAGAGTCTATGAAACATCTGATCACCAACTGTGATGCACTAGGACACAGAAGACATAAAATCTTAGATGTATACTAACTAGAGTATGAAGACCTTCGAAAACTTCCTCCGAGCGAGCTGGTCGATTCCTCAAGTTACTAAATGTCTAAATACAAAGGCGTGCATAATAGATCAAGCTGGTCGCAGTGCATAGGGGCCTTAGTCTAACCCTAAACCTCCCAATACCATTGACCATCTCAAAAAAGTAGAAATTAGGTATAAATAAAGTAGAAATCAGGTGAGGTGGAATACAGTTGCTTCCTTTTCCGTAGAGCCACAAGGTCAAAAAGTTATTATAGGCTATAAGCAGTAGCATAATATGTCTACCTAGTAAGCAATGAGCGTCAGCACCGATACCGTAGTGCTAAGCAGATTACGCTTTATTGAAGCAGTCGACAGGTATGTTTCTTTAAGGAGTATTACTTAAAAAAAGTAATATTTTTATCTATCTATAAATTTTGCTTATCAAAAAAATAAATTTGAAACTAATATGTATTCGAATAAAAAGTGTCGGAATTTTTTAAAATAATTATAGGGTCTTTAATTAGAAGTATATTTCAAAAAAAAAATTTAAAAAAAGTTTTTTTAAAACTAATATTTATTCAAATAGAAAGTATTGAAATTTTTTAAAATAATTATGAAATCTTTAAACCGAAACATAAGAATGTCATGACTGTTTATGAGAAAGAATTATTTAGTTTTTCTTGAGATTTTTAAAAGATTATGCTTATTTTTAATTTACAAGAGCAATGGTTTTAATAAACTACTAAAACTTAAATAATGTTAATTTATTTTTGATTATTTTGTTATTACAATTACAATTGTAATGTAATGTAATTTAAAGTAATTCTAAAAGATATTATTAGTGAAATGAATTCATTGATCTTGTGAAAACCACAGCTCACAGAATTTCCTAAAGTCCAATTTCATATTTCGTATTTTCTTCTGATAACCAGCGTGCTCTGCCAGGCTTATTCGGGAAATTTTTCTCTTAGTCGCTTGTGGGAACTCCGTGCATATGATTAATCATTGCCAGTACGTGTACTTCATTAGGCCATAAACAAGTGTAGTGTGAATTACTTAAAACATATATTTTTTATTTAATCACCTAACTGAACTTGATTAACTTAAACCTTAAGCATGCAATCTAAAAATATGCCTAATAATATATCAATGTCACTCTGTCTTGCTGCACCGTACGTAATTATTTATGCTGTGATGTTGTAAGTTTTAATTAAAAGTCAGAGATTAGCTCTTCTTCAAGTTAGTTGTTGTTGTTTATTAAGCTTCTCTGGTTAACTAAATAATTTATGAAACTAGAAACTGCACCAGATATTATCAAGCCAAGTGCAATTAACCAAAAAAAAAACTAAGTCTCTACTCACCTGACAATGAACACTTTAAGCAGCAACATTATGAGATATTTTTTTATTAAATTTTAGATTTTAATTTTTATAATTAATAATGAAAAGTCAAAATATATTTATTTTGCTTTGTTAAATGTGACAAATTGACAAATTAATATATTAAACACACATTAACCCGTAAAAGAAAGTCAACGAATTAGAAAATTAAATTCTTCCACTGAATTCTTCACTAAAGCCGAGAGAGTTTACGCAAATCCACGGCTTTTCACAGTTATTTGTATAAATAATAATTAAATTATGTGATTCTTCCTCGAGGCGTTAGAATAACAAAATAACAAATTCACAGACAATATTTTTGTCTCTAATTGATGAAAAGTTTCTTAACCCGTAACTAATTCTTATCAAAAGTTACACAGCGGCAGACGAAAGTTAGCTGATACTTCCTGGAAGAAGTCAGGACATCCTCTTGAAATCGAACCAAACTTTGTCGGAAGACGGAGAACACGTACACGATAGCACACAAACACGTTTTCACGATTTTTTCGCGTACAATATTGCAAATTAATTCGGTCTATCGTCGGACTTCCTTTCTTTCTAGCTCCGCAAGAACACAAGCGCCACCTTTTGTTGTACTACAAATTCGAGCAAAGTGCACGTGAATGATGGCAAATTTGTGATAAGTCAACAATACGGAACAGAATTATTGTGCAACAATGAGTGCAAACAACGGAAAACTGCTGCTGCCGCTCCAACCGGGCAGGCGTTAAAAACCGCAGCGTGAGTTTACAGTTTCGACGAACTGTGAAGAAGCACCAAGCTGAGTACAAACAATTCTTGAAGACTGTTGAATGCTGTATGACGCATCGACCGAGCTGAATTGCAGTCTAAATTTCGCGTATTTGGATTTTTCTCGTGTTTAGAAATAAACGTGCATAGAAATTGGCACAGCGCAATCGCAGCAAAACACGTACGTAGACGATAAAATCTCGTCAAAGACTGAATCGGTTGCAAGTGAACACAGTGCTTTTTACTAAACAAGCCATGCCATGCCTTGCCATGCCAGACCAGACCAGACCAGGCCAATCAACAAAACAACCAAACCAAGGAAAGCGATTTTGCACACACAAGTTGCAAGCAAAGCAACGAAAAGCAACGAAAAGCTAAACAAAAACAAAACCAAATAATAATCAACTTCAAAACATTTGTGGTACGGTAAGAACTGTTGGAGTCAAAATAAAAGAACAAAAGTACGAAGAAAGACTCATCATATATACTCATACGTCTTTCGGTTGGGGTTGTACTCTACACAAACACGAACACACACACACACAAACACAAACTTCTAGTATTTTCAGCAGTTCCACCTGCGATAGCTTCTGCTAGCGCGCAAATCTTTTGTGTTTATGACAGTCTCAACATAGTACGAGTGTATACGAGTATGGTACCATCAGTATGCCGCATATGCCGGTTGCCAGAGAGGCAATAGCAGAAGCTAAAGCAACAGTGATAATTATAACAACAACAGTTACACTCAAGTTAAATTTATTGTAGACCTATGAGACTTTATAAAATATAATACAAATACCATATACTACTTTTATATTACAATTATTATTATTAATTTATTTTTTTTATATTCTACACACAGAATATTATCACAATTTTTTTTTATTTTTGCAGTTGGTAAAGAAGATTTCCACAGCAATTAGGAAACTTCATTCCAGTAATCAGGGGAGAGAGATGTGAACGCATAGGCTTAATACCTCGCGAACTAGGTTGATCTAAGCCAGCAAGCAGGGACGTAAATTAGGGAGATAAGGTGAGAGTGAAGGGAGTGGGATTAAAGCGCACACGCGCGGTTGAGACTAGTGATAAACTTTGAGATTAGGGTCATGAAAGCCGCAGTTATAAAGAGATATAGTGTGAAGATTACGGTCACACTCATCGAAATGGTGGAACAAGTATTAGGGGGGTTTATAGCACAAGGCGCAAGGAGATTACGGTTACACTTATCGAAATGGTGAAACAAGTATTAGGGGGATTTGTAGCGCAAGACTTGAATGAAGTCTTCAGAGAGGGTATTGGAAATGGAGACGTCAGGGGGAAGATCGTGGACTCAAAGTCCAATAGGCGAATTTTAGTCGGGTATCTACGGGCAAGTGTTAAAAGGTACTCGTCAACACGAGTAATCTTGGCATTGTCATAAAGAACAGAGATGGGAAAGTGCTTGCCTCAAATTGGCGAATTCTTTCCATTATTAGTATTAAACTATAACAATTAAAGATAAAATATAATAAATTAATTTAATTATAATAAATTAATTTAATTATTCTACAGCTAGTTTAATAAAAAAAATGTGCGAACATAAAAAGTCTAGTGTCTAATGAACACTGACTCTGACACTCAAATTTGGCAGGATTATTTACGTATAATTAAATACAAGAAATTTTTCCAAAATTACTGATGATGGGTATTTAGCAATACTGAAAATAGCTGTATGGTCAGTCGAAAATTCAATTCATCTAATTAATATTAAATGAATTTTTGTTGTTGTAGTTCACTACTTTTTGAAAACCATTATTTTTATTTTACATTTATTTATTATATTTTATATTATTTCATATTATATTTATATTTTTTATTATATTATATTTATTTATTTTTATTTGACGTAATAATAATACTAATATCCCAATCTACATATTATCAAAAACTACTGCCTAATTTTGTGGAAAATACTATATACATATTTTGTTCTGTTATTGATATTTTTACTATTTACAGCAATTTATAAAAAGGAAGACCAACAAGGTTCAATATTACACAATTTAAACAAATTAATATATCAGCTTCAAAGTAATATTTACGTATTCCTGTGGAAGGAGATTCAAAATTTATTACTAAGAAGTAATTCATAGATCCAGATCCAGATTGTATATTTATATATGTTGATTTGCTGATTTGACTCTTCAATCAATCGTACTATGTTATTGTTGTTTTAGCTCGTTGGGACCTACTGGTAAAGTTACTTTGGGAGGTGTTGAAAGGCATTTGGTCATCGATAACGACAAGTGTCTTTGGGACGAAGACCCTGCCGTTCTTGCAATCATACTAGATTTATTACTAGATTTATTATATAAAAAATTACACATTCACCATTTCTAATAGCTTCTATTGCTATTACAAATCAGTCTATGCAATATAAAAAGAAATACTTGCAGCAAAGCCTGTCAGAAATAGATGAATACTAAATAAATTTGTGGTACCATTGCATTCTCACGATGGGTTCATAATAAACTACAGTTTAATTTAAAAAAGTCATCTATAATTTCAAATTATATACTAACATTTCTTTAGAGTGTAATATTTTTACGATTAAAATTGCGACTACGCTCCGCTGACGACGACGGAGCTATTGTCTGCTGAGAAAAGTCTTTTGCCTTTGGCCATGGCATTTGGTCAAAACATAAAGAAACGTTTATGAGTAACAAAATATTATAATACATCAAACCATAAATGGAAAATGAAATCAAAGATAAGAAGAACCAAACAGAAAACATGATCATATGAAATAAAAGAGGTTAGAGGGTACATAAAGTTAGAAGAAATTTGAAAATTTATCTAATTAGGTATGAGTAGCTAATCTGGAATGTTTGATGTGGTTTCGAAAAGTTGTTCAGATTTAACACAAATATTTTGGAGAAATTGTTTTGCATCTGCGGAAGATGTGTTAATCCAACTTAAGTGACTCAACTAGATAAGCGTTACTCCAGTTTAATTAACTTATCTAGAATAACACTTCTAGAGTATAAATAATTTTTATAAGGGAGCTTTAAACTGAAAGTAAATAAATGAATTTTATTCAGAACATAGGTTTGGAATGTATCAAAAACATAGAGTTGATAAAAATCATAGAATTGGTTTGCGAAACAAATTCTTCAGATCTGTTCACATCAACAGACAAATTAATTTAACATATTAGTTTCTGTAAACTGTTCATCAAAATTATAATAATTCCGAATAAAGTAATTTTTAATTTAAACTATATTTTTGATTTGTTATCAAAAATTTATATATAAAAGTAAACATTATGCTTATCTTATCTATAGATTCTCCATAATAAGAGAGGAAATTAGTTTTCATCTTGTTTCAATTCAAAACCTCAATACCTCTCATATGGATTTATTTATTATGAAATATAAAAGATTTTGTTTTTATACATATTAGAAAAGAATTCAACTAAGTCATTTGTTATAAATCAAATAATATTAGAAAAGCATTAAACTAAGTCATGTTAAAATCTCCTTTTGATTCGCCACTGATTGAACCTTAAAATCAATATACGAAAGTATTTCATATATACGTAATACTGCACTCATCTCTCATAAAGTACTCTCGAAAGGCTTAACTTGGTTAGATATATTGGAGGAAGAGAAATAATACATATTAAAATATTATCTTATGTACAAGTACTGAATCTCGGAAGAACTTATTGGATCACTCATTAATACTTAGAAAAGCTCTATGTATAAGTGACGATCGGTACTTGAACAGAATGATAATAATATACAGTTTTATTTTATTTTTATATTAAAATAAAAATTATATAGTTTTAAAAATAGCCACCTTAATGGGTATACCTAATACAATCTATAGATATATACTACAAAATCATTACTAAAAAACATGTTCTAGTATATCCCCGCCCTTGGCATAATGCTGACTATTCCACTGATAGTCCCGAATCACAGAATAGAAATTCGGATGATGTGACTTCTACTTAATGAAATCAAAATTGCGTTATTAGTTATTATAGCTACTGGATTGTTGCCATATTAATCACTTCTTGAGTAAATACAAAGGACAACAGTAAGGGACGCTTGTGATATATAAATAATATATATATAATGATGCTTGTGTATATTTCTCAACATAAGTACTGCATGAATACAAGTTTAAATTTCAACTAAGCATATCGCATTGTTACTAATATCAAGATTATATATTGTCATCTAGAACAGGGCTGTCCAAAGCACGGTCCACGGGTCTCTTGCGGTTAATAGAGGTATGGTCCGCACAATATGCTTCTAATCTACTACAATTATTTTCTTTGTTACGTTAATTAACATTGAATTATTTTATTTTTATGGTATCCCAAATAAATTAATTAAAATGTTTTAAATAATTTGTTACACTTCACGCTCATTTACAAAGACTTGATTAACAAAGACTATATAGATTATATATAATTCTTTGTACAACTGAAACAACTCGTTTCTAAGTATTACATTAAAATAAAATATTTTTCGTGTGATAACAACTAATATTTAAAATGCTGATATTGGTAGAATTGTAAAAGATATAATAATGAAGAATTAATAAAACTAAATTTAGCATTTTCACCGTATTTTCATTTTTCTCCAGAAAAATGATGAACGTTTGTATTTATTACTGCGGTCCTCCAACTTATTCAGTGATTTATATTGCCACGTGATTTAATTTGTTCTGGACAGCCCTGATCTAGAGCATAATAATAGTAACGAACAACTATTGTATGTAATTAATATTTACCGCTGGATACTTTTTTGCAAAAGGGTATTATAAATTTTTTTTTTAAACAACATTTTTACTTCAATTATATATTCCATCTTGAGACTCTTATCAATTGAGTAAAAATTTTTAATAATTGACGCATTTAAAAGAAACTAAATAAGCATAAATTAATTTAAATTATCTATTATCTATATGTATCTATATATCTATTATTAACCAATAACATTTTTATTGGTGTCTAACAATTATCTGCAAACGAAAATGCAATTCAGTTTTTATGTCATTTTAGTTGGAACCATAATCGATTGGTCGTTAACAATAATTCAAGCTTTGAACAATTATATTTTGACTCACTGTTTTGTGTAGGCTTGTTCAGAAAAATTTTCTCCTGGCATTCTGGCTGTTAGCCCGCATTTTATTCCTTATAATTGGCATCCGCTAAGCCAGATAAATTGAGAAAAACTACGCTTGAGGGTTGCATCAGTTTTATGATTTATTTATGCAAACGCATACTCATACCTTATAATAAGCCATAAAAATTTTTATATGGAATAGGTCGAAAAATGAACATCGAATGTTCATGTTTACTCATGCTCCCAGCAAAATGTGACCATTGCGAAGAAGCAAGGAGCTGACCACTTCAAACATTGTCGTTGCAAGGCACATATCGATATAAACCACAATTTAAAGCGCTGCCAAACAGAACTCAGTTCACGGTACTGGCATAGAAACCTTT